CATTAGCATATTTATTTATAATTCGTTCTGTGAAGATTCTTCATGAATGTTAAATTTACATTTAGATGTGAAATATTTATTCTAAACAAAAAAAGTAATTTTATCAATCTAATTTTCTCACCTTGGCAGGTAAATGGAAAGTTGTAATTTTATGCTTTTCGCTTTCTGCCATGAAGTTTATGCCTCTTCGTCCTTTTATCATAAACATAGTTGGTTGTTCTTTTTCACAGTCACCGTTGCTGATCAGACCTTCCATGTGTTTACTCGGAATGTCTAGATAGCGCATCTTTATAACAAATGTAGAAGCCGATTGCATCTCGGGAAATTTTGGGATAGTCAGCTTAGCGTTCCCATCAAAGTATCCAAGACCATTTCCAATAAGTTGGACGTTGTGATTTTCGACTAGAACATGGTTACCAGATGTATCCAAGCAGTTGTTGTCGAACGGAATGTGTACGACTGCTTTACATACTAGAAATTAGAAAACATCTTATGATTACGCAGTTCAGTGCTTCGCTTAAAATATACAGGCAATTAATATGTGTACAATTAAAAAAATCTAAATCAAAGAATTATCATTACCTTTGTCTTTTTGGTCATCTGTTTGATGAATTTTGCCACTGTTTAATGGTAGGCACTGACACGATTCACTGTCAAAGATATTCCCTGGCTTGCAGCATTTTTTCACCCATCCATAACCATAGACAAATTCCTCGTATTTATCGAGTTCGGCAAAACTCATCCGTTTGTTACATTCATTTTTCTCTTTCTTTTCTTGCAGTGGACAAGGATCTTTACAGTCAGGTTGAGGAATGCAACCTTTAAAAGGAACATAGCCGTACCCGACGGGACAACACATTGGCACTGATTTACCATGGCTGCAGATCCAATGGGCTTTACAGTTCTCCATATGACCAAATGGGTAAGACAGTATACTTGGTATGGAACATTTATCTGCAATGAACGAATGTTTTCAATTAATACATTTTACATTTATTAAAATTGCCATCGTACAGGAAAATGAAAGACTAAGCATGTCAGTAAATATACAAATTGATAACAATATTGTTTCTTTAGTTGATACTTAAACACCAGTAATATATTACCTTTTGGACAAGGCACTTCTGCTGCATTTCTACATCTGATTTCCTCCTGGTCCCAATACATTCCAAATGGACACTGTCTGTAAACCGCTTGAACTTTACCGTCATATCCGAAATAACATTGGATGTATTTATCACAGTCCTCAGGATGACGGTGGAATCCCTCACCGTTTTTCATTTTACAGTCGTTACAGATGCGCGGATCTGGTCCTGGATTAACGGGTGGTTTGGGTGGTAGTATTGTAGTCGTAGTAGGTGTTGTTGTTGTCGTTGTTGGGATGGTAGTAGTCGTAGTCGGTGTTGTTGTTGTCGTAGTCGGTGTTGTTGTTGTCGTTGTTGGGGTGGTGGTGGTTGTAGGCGGAGTGGTTGTTGTTGTTGTTGTGGTAGTGGTTGTTGTTGTTGTGGTGGTGGTGGTGGTTGCTGGAACAAACCAAACATTTCGTATAATCATACGATGCAACTCTAAATGTTGTTTAAACTATAGCAAAAATAGTCAGCGGTAAGAACTTTATATGTGCATAATTTTATATAGAAAGCAAAATATGAAGCTCTATGAAATACAGTGAACAGAATAACCATGAACCATGTGATACTTACTAGGACAAACTAGCTTTACGATGTCCTCTAGATTCCTAGCCAACATATCAAAAGATTCAACAGTGAGGACTTGTGATGGTCTGGATGCAATGGCGTTAAGTTCAACAATATCTGTTAAGTGAGTGACACCAACAGAGTACATGTTAATTCCATACTCCTTAGCCAGAGACGCTTGCATTGCAGTCTGAGGTGGATCTTTAGAGATACCGTCCGTCACAACGATTCCCACCATCGGCACATCCCCTCTAGGATTCCTCCCGAAGATTTCCCTCATTTTCTCGATCCCCTTATCTGTGTTCGTTCCCTCCCTTGGATGAGGCATCGTTTGGGCTTGCCTTCTAAGGTATTCCTTGTCATCTGATAGTGGCACTTCCAAAGCTATATCCCGGCTATAAACCACCATTCCCATCCTTCCGTTACCCTCTCCAATATTAAGTCGATCTACCAACCCTTCCATGGCCAAGCGTAAAGTATCAAAGTCCACTTTGTTGATGCTGTCAGAGCCGTCGATACAGAAGATAATGTCGAAAAGCTGTTTACATTCTGGAAAAAAATTTAAACAGTGCTCAATTTCAACTAGAGATTTTTTTCATTTCAGTTTAAGTAAAAAAGAAATCCAAATAAAATCAAAATCATAAATAAGAGAGAAAAGAGAAAAAAAATAAGCGAAGATGATAAAATGAGTTAAGTAATTTAAGTAATATTTGCTTACCATTGTCCGAATCGCCGTTAACATGAATATTCCAGTTCAATTGCAAAACCAAATAAAAGGTAACAATTACTTTAAGTGAATTTTGCATTTTGTAAAATGGTAAAAAATAATAGTAATAAAAACTTCTGGAGGAAATGGATCTTATTGTGACTATTCCTTGAAATTGGAGTCTTATTTATACTAGTTTTTAAAGATCAAAAATCAATTAGTTGGGTCACACTGAATTTTTTCAGGAATTTTCAAACGTTTTTTTGCGATTTAAGTCGTGTTTTATACATGATTGGCTGTTGTAAAGTTATTCGTCTGACGTAGCTAAAAGAACCTAACAGGTCCGGAAAACAATACTAACTCATTCATCAAACTAAGGTAGAAAAGAATAAAACATCCTCTTTTTTAAAATTCTGTCTCCGGATATTATTGCTCATTTATCAATCTTAAATATACTTTAATGCACGTTTTGTATGATATACAACCCATGTCTGCATATTCATCTGAACTGTTCAGAATGCAAGATATTTGAAAGTTGTTTGACTGGTTTGATTACCTTTTCTTCTATTTTACTAAACATCTTGCATCATTCTTACTAAAAAGAATACATTTTGTAATTATAAAACAATAGAAAATTATTTTATATGGTAACATACCCTTTAATTCTATTATGTTAATTGCATGTTAATTATCATCTTTATTGATTTTTTTAAATCATTTCAGAGGTAAATCTTTTAAGAAAGTTTGAAAATACTTTGGAGTTTGTATTGCTGGTAATACAGCTAGTAAGCTGGTATTTATAACAAAAAAGAAACAGGCTCAAGGTAAAATAAATAACATCATCTTAAATCAAAACAATCAAATCATCTCCAATTATTTCAGTTTCCAAACTGTATATTTAGAATCCATTAGCTATAACATGCATTTTTGTGCAGTTAGGTACCTTAAGTCTATGCTTGACATAATTATGCAAGTAGGAAATTTCTTTTTTTTCTGATTCTTTTTTTTTAAAGTATTAGATATTTTTTTAAAGAATACTGGAGTTGGAAGTGAAGTGTTTATGTTCATTTAGCAGAAAAATAGATCTCTAGTTGACAGAATAACTGTTTTGTGGTTACATAAAAATGACACTTCTGTGTATTTCATTCTTGTTAGTGACATGATTGTGGTTAATTTCACTATGAAAGGTATTGTTTATTGATTCAAAGTACTATTTACGAAATAAGCAGAACTAATTCGATTTCTGGAATGATGATGTGTTTACAATATTGTTCTACATTTACATTTGTTTTGAAAATAAAAATAATTACATAGAAGATTTATACGTAATGAAAACGTAATGAATTTGAAATAAATTGTAGTCAGAGAAGAAATGATTATGGACTTTATAAGTATGCATAGAATTTTGTTTTTGTGGCACAAGTTCGATAGATCATATCATATCAAGCACTTGCAATCGGTAATGATATATGCGGAAATCTTAACCGCGGAAGATAATTATTGTGAGAAGAGACATGAAATTTATTCAAATTATAGGAATAATCACATTATCAGATTCTGTAAATAGAAATTAACTCTTTCTTCAGAATAGTTTAACAAAGTACCATCTTCTTATGATTTTATTTGATGTAACTGTTGAGTGGTTACTATAAAACTGTTAATCTATATTATAAGGTTTTATAAAATTTGCCGCAACATAAATTATTTTTGGTATTGTCAGATGCGGAAGTGTAAAACCACAGGAGATAAATACATGTACTCGCATAAAACATGTTATTTTTCTAAATAGGAGAATCATTATTGCAGGGAATATTACATCAAGATAATAACAATTGTTTCTGCACCAAAACAAAAAAAAACTTTATATCATAATTCATTATTCGATTCGAAATACAAGTCTCTCTCTCTCTCTCTCTCTCTCTCTCTCTCTCTCTCTCTCTCTCTCTCTCTCCATGTGTGTGAGGGTGTGTGTGTGTGTGTAAAATAAATATGCTCAATATGTAACAAAGTGTCATTGCATTGAATTGCTAGAGTTGCTAGTAGGTTAACTTTTTAACAAGTAATAACTTTTCATGGTTTTAAAAATCTAGTTTAAAAAATTCAAAGAGGGGAGTATGTCTAATAAATATGCTAATGTATTTTACCCACCTACCCACCCCCTTGATTTGTTTCATTTTTTTTCAGCTCGGAAAGGAGGGGGACTCTTTCAAGCAGAATACACATTACTCTCTTCAGAGCAACATAATTGTGGTAAATTTTGATGAATGGTTGTGTTGGTTGTGTGACTAGTAGGTCGGTGATGGAGGAAGGAAATTTATTCGACATGGTTTTAATCGATGTAGATACGTGATGTTCTTTGTTTCCATGCGACTGATTGTAAATTAAAAAAATATAAATTCTCAATATATTTCTAAGTGTATTTTTAGGTCTATTCAGATATTTACTGAAACTTAGATAGGATCGTGTGCGTCATAACGTAAAATTGCTTGTCATTATCGACCAAATGGAAGAAAAAACATTAGCTCACGATAATTCAAATTGATCCGGTATTATGTTTCATATCATTGATGCTATTTAAAAGTAATAAAAAAAATGTTCATATATAGAATAATCCTGAAAATATACCGTATTATTTACAGTTACTGCTTTGGTGATAATGGGGTTGTCTGTCTGTCTATTCATTTGCAGAACATTAAATTCATTTCCATATTTTCATTTCCTGTTGATAATACGACATCAACTTAAAATTTTGTATATTAATCAACTAAATAATAAAAAGAAAACCTTGGCATTAGATTCTAAGCACTTGTATTCTTCTTTCCAAACTACATAAATTAGAATCGGAGAATGAAAATTTGTGATATTTTATTTAAATACATGATGAATAAGTTTGCGCCTGAGGACAATTGGCACAACTTGAAACCTCTTTGCAAGGATGCCTTGCAGAAAATTTGGTTCGAATTGGCCGATTGATTGTGGAAAAGCAGATGATTGCTTGTTTGTTGTTTTTCGTCCGTTGCGAGATGTTTTCACTCATATGAGAGACGTCAACAGATGCCCGTGATTTAGACCTGTTCTCGGTACTTGGAACCATTTAGCAGTGAAGGTTCTTTAGTGTGTCGTCACCTGCCGTAACACAGGGAATTTGTATTGAAGGTCTCTTCCGAAAGAGCCGCATGCACAACTTTCACGTCATTATTGTCGAGCGCTCGGCGAAGAAATAGTTGCTACCTATTCGACTTAGATAGACTTAGGTTTGGCGCAATCCCAAGAAATTCTGAAAAGCAAATAAAATTGAGAAAAGCCTATGCATGAGGGAAGACCACGAACAAAAACTGAGGGAAAAAACAACCTAGTCAACGCATCCTTGGAAATAAACTTGGCAACTAAAAATGTTCATCAAACAACACGTTTTAAGAAATAGAGTAGATTTTTTTACCTCGATAAATTCGGTGGAATCAATTCAAAGTTCGGCTGCAAATCTTAATTTCCGCTCTGATTCCGATTCTAAACATGCCGGGAGTCGCCCGCGTGGCGCAGTGGTTAGAGCGCTTGCTCTAGAGTCGCGGAGTAAGGAGTTGATCCTTACGTCGTTGGTTCGAATCCCACTGTGGGACGTGGAGACCGATCCTGCGGATGAGACTGTATAAACCGAGGTCCCGTGTCGCAGTAGGTGCTGGCACGAAAAAGCTCCCTTACTGCTCAATGGCCCTAAGTGCCGATTATAGGCCAAAATTCGCAGCTCTCCACCGGCAAGTGGTGGTGTCTCCATATGAGTGAAAAATTCTCGAGAGGGACGTTAAACAAAAAGCAAACAAACAAAATAAACATGCCGGGAGTAATATTAGGTGGAGATTGTCTTTAAGAAAAAATTACGCCAAAAGAAGCAAACCGTAATGATAGTACCTGAGTCTGCTATATTACTGCAAAAAGTGAAAGATTTCTTGTTTTCATTTTTTTTATCTTAATTGTACTATCATTGTTTCTCATGTCATTAAGCGAATCTTGTTTCTTTCGAAAAGTCTATTTTGCAAAATTAGTTCGTTTGTTCAATCGTAATTAACTTTAATTACAAGAATATATGTTTGCATATCATTTCATTACGTGTATACTAAGTTTACATTGAAGATCTTCAGTCACTCTTGTTTTTCTGTAATAATATATTTATATACATGTATATATTGAACTGAGAAATCAATCGATCAACTGGGAAAAGGCGTCGAAATAATCTATTTATACAGATCGAATGAATTATATATCTGAGTCGTAAAAAATGTTTTGAAAATAATCACTGAAGATAAATAATTTTGTATTCATGAATTTAGAGAAGAGAGAGAGAGTGATGGAACGGTGTCAAAAGCAGGGACTTGAAATAAAACGAAATATCAGACGACCATGCGTAAATAAAGACATGTAGACGTTGACTTTGTTTAACTCTAAATCAATATTTCCTAATTCTCAATTGTCCAATAATTTGAAATAAAAAGTCATTTCGAGTAACAATATAATCCATCCAATAACCGATTATTCGGATAAAGAAATTCCTGAGTGGTGGGGGTGAGATGGTACAATAACGTGGGGAGGGAGCTTGTTCAACAAAAAAGAGGGGGAATAGGGCAGCCGCCCTTTGAATGAAAATTCCCATATGAAATTGAACAGCAAAAAATTCTCAGAAAAATGGAGGAGGGGGATTGCAGGTCTCTCTTAACCTCCTTCCTAAAGGCCCGTATAATGCTTGGAAAAGTTGGCATTGTATCATGAGAGTATCAAATAGAGGGAGAAAGATTTGTACAATTTAAAAACAATGTTTTAGAAGGAAACCAAATGAAGTACTTCTCTATCGATCGCTGCTTTTCTGTTCTCGCTCAAATTTATTTGCGCGAGAATGCAATGAGTAGCATGTTAATGATAGAAAAGTCAAAAGCTGAATAATTCCGGATTTTCTATAGCAGCATTCAGGATATGAATTATATTGTATATAGTCGTTCAATAGTGTACATTCCTCATCCTTACATCCTTACCAAATATTCGTACGTTTACTCATTTTCAAGTTCTTTATTTTTCCTATCTTTTGAAAATTGTACCCAATGATATAGAAAT